CTATGCTAAATAAAAGAATTTAGCAAAAAGAATACATCTTATATAATAAAAGGCTAATATGCAAATCGATCGAATGGTGGAATGACCGGTCGCTATGACACACACTGACCACAAGGGGGCATATGCTCAATGCAGGAGCTGCCCCCTGGTGGTCAATGTGTTCCCACAGGGGAAGCACTGCTCAGCCAGAAGCCGGGCTCATAGCTGGCGAGCCCAGCGGTGGTGGCAGGAGCCTCTCCCACCTCCAAGGCAGCACTAAGGAGCAGGGAGCAGGGCTCATGGCTGGCAAGAGCAGTGGCAGTGGCAGGAGCCTCTCCCACCTCCACTGCAGGCGGGTGGTAAGAAGCAAGGGTCCACCCTTAACCAGTTTGGCTCAGTGAATAGAGCATCGGCCTGCGGACTCAAGGGGCCCAGGTTCGATTCCGTTCCAGGCCATGTACCTGGGTTGTGGGCACATCCCCAGTGGGGAGTGTGCAGGAGGCAGCTGGTTGATGTTTCTCTCTCATTGATGTTTCTAACTCTCTGTCCCTCTCCCTTCCTCTCTGTAAAAAAATCAATAAAATATATTTAAAAAAAAAAAAAGAAGCAAGAGTCCCAGACTGCAAGAGCCCCAGACTGCAAGAGGGATTTCTGGCTGCCAGACATCCCCTGAGGGGTCCCAGACTGCGAGAGGGGACCGCCCTCTCCCCCCCACCCCCCGTCCAGTGCATGAATCTCGTGCACTGGGCCTCTAGTACTGTATAATTCCTTTTATATTTAATTCTAAAAAAAATGCAAACTAACCTATATGGAATGACAACAGGATGAGTGTTTTTCTGGAGATGAGGGTGGAGGAAAATTTAGTTTACAAAAAAATAAGGAAACTTTTGTGGTTATGGAGGTGTTTGTTATCTTGATTATAGTGACAGTATTATGCATCAAAACTGATCAAATTTAATGCTTTAAGTATGTGTCATTTGTTATGTCTCAACTATACCTCAATAAATGTGAAAACAGACCACTCAAACAAACATAATTGTCTTTACTAAGAGTTTGTTATATGCTCAGGGTCTTTTCCAAGCCCGTTAAATTAATTAACATTTAACCCACCCCCTTCCCCAACAACTCCAAAGTAGATATCATTATTTTTATCTCTGGTTTATAGTTGAAGAAACTAGAACTAATAAGTTGCCCACTTTGCCCTCCCTCAACTCCCCAATTTCTCCACTTTCCACAGCTCGAACTGGCCACCCTACATGACTTAGACAACCCTCGTGGCTTAAGCTGATAAATCCTAGTGATTGGACAACAATTCAAAATTTGGGGAGAGAGAATGTTGGGTTGGCCAGCATAAATCACCTATTTCAGATACAACCTGTCACGGATAAGAAACAGGCCCCTGGCGGACCTGGAGCAGCCCTGGGGGTGAGGGAGGTGATTCTGAACAGGACTCCCAAAGTGGTGACTGCATTGAACTCCTGTTATGGGTCTTAGGAGAGTTGAGGGAATGAAAATATAGAGAAAGACAAGTGTCACATGATCTCACTCATATGTGGAATCTAATGAACAAAATAAACTGATGAACAAAATAAACCCAGAGACATAGAAACATAGAACAGACTGGGGAATCTCAGAGGGAAGGTGGGGTGGGGAATGCAGAGATTAACCAGGGAATTTATATGCAGATATGCATGACCCATGGACACAGGGATAGGAGGGTGTGATAGAGGGGGTCAACGGGGGAAAAGAGAGGACATCAATAATGCTTTCAACAATAAAGATAATTTTTTTAAAAAAAACAAAATAAATTTCTTTAGGCTGAAAAAGAATGAAATCAAATGATAATCCAAGTCTACCAGAAGGAATTAAAGAGAACTAAAAATGGTACGATGGGAGTAAACATTTAAAAAAATTATCATTTTTTTCTTCTCCTAATTACTTTAAAAGACAACTGTTATTTAAACACACACAGCACAGACACTGCCTAACAGATTATAACATTTGTAGACGTACAACTTTTAAAAATAATAGTACAAAGAAGAGAGTGTATAAATGGAATGATACAGTTATAAAATTATTACATTTTACATGAAGTGTGACGATATTTACACTCAGTTAACAGTGCATACTGTAATCCTGAGGAACCCAAAATCTTCATAATAAACCTCCTAGCAAGTGTCATTCACATGTTTATTCTTATGTCTTTATCAATGCCAGCCAAGGTCTCTCAGCGAAAGCAGCTTTATAAGGTATAAAAATAATTTGAAGGTAAACAGCTTTTTCTTAATGATCTGACATGAAACAAGTATAAAACTTAATTCATTTTATGTCCCTGAGTATTAGTTCTTAAAGCTACACATTTGATGAGTTCTAACATCTAATGAACCCGTAATTGGTAGGCCTTGTGGGGTTAGTTGTAACCTTCCCCTGGCAAAGCTTGTGTGATTTGTTGAATTTACTTTGCCTCTGATACTTTGGGCCAATGTTTATTTATTCCATGTGCATTTTTGTATCAAGGCCACAAAATCCCCAAAAGAATATCCTAAATGCAAAATATGTAATGGCGTATATTGGTCATCAGAATAATGAACTACACTAAGTGATACAGAGATTCAGTGCTGCAGCATAAACATGCTGTGAAAGGAGCAGTACACCCTCCCTTCCATGTCCATGGACCCCTCCACCAAGCCCTCTGACAGCTCTGCTGTACAAACTACAGTCCTCAAGTCGCTCCATCTGAGTCGGCGACTTCTCTACACATTGATTAATATCATATTGTTACATCACACATATAATTTCATTGTTTTATAATCAACGGCAAGTGACTGGTGATTTGGGGGGAAAAAGACTAATGATAGCACATAATTATTTGTTTCTTAAAGAAGTCTCTAGCTTCAATCATTCAATTTTATTTTAACAGAAACATAAAATATATGATGATCTTGCAGGTTTTTCTCTTGGCAAACGTTGCCTTCCCCTGAAGCTTTTGTCCCTGGATCAGATTTTGAGTAGGAACTAGATATATGGATGCAAAAGTCAAAATAAAAGGCATAAGGTTATAAAATAAGAGCATATTCAAACTATCTTTATTTAAACAAGACAACAAAAACAGAGTTTATCAAGAAGTCTGAGCCTGGACGCTGCACCCCCGGGTCTGCATGGTTTAGCCTGTGACTTTTGAGCTTCAGTTTGGACCATCTATCGCTTCTCAGTCTGCTCTGCCTGGGGTTCATCAGACTTGGTTTCTCCTTCCTTCTTATCCTCAGCTGTGGGTTAGCTCCTTCATTCCAAGCCCCAGTCCAGCTCAAGAGGCTAAAATCCCAGTTTAAAGCAGACTCTCACCCAGATGGAGAATTCTGTGGCCCAAGAACATCTCTAAGCAGATGAGTAATTGGTTTAAAGGCTGGCATTTGTATGGAATGGACGTAATGTAGCATCCAGTACAGGCACTGGTGGTGTATAGTTTATCTTGGTGCCTCGTCTTATCTTTATTGATGAAGTAGATGGAAAAATTGAATATAATGCTTAACATCTACAGCTCTCATAAAGAATGATTACACATACAAAGACAGGAACAGAATTCAAAATTAATTATCTAAATTCAAAAAAATGGTGCACTTTAAAATGAAAGAAAATTCCACTCAGAAAATTTAAGTAATCTCACACACTCTGTTAAAAAAAGAGTTATCAGGCCCAAAATGGAGGCACTTGTGTGAAGCTCACATTCCCAAGCCGAGACTTAAAATCGAGGTTAATTACAGCTTCAGTCTCCCCCGGAGTGAAATTTAAAGAGTTCACCTGAAATTGCCTGGTCAGCACAGGTGAGGTCGCTGCCCGAGGGACCCCTGCCGCCCCCAGTGGAGGCCGCCTGGCCTGGAGCCGTCAGGCCTGCCCACCGCTTTGGGAAGGGAGGCACCGCTGGTGTTTGATACTCATTCGGTTTTGTTTATCTAGCCATCTTTCATCTTCATGTGGTCGTGCCACACACTGAGCCGGACGCATGGAATGTGGGGTAGGCTGAGTCCTCAGGGGTAGTCTTGTCGGAGAGATGGGCGGGCTTCCGTAGAGCAGCGCAGAGGCTCAGGCCAGGAGTCCACTTGGGACAGGGAAGAGCCGGATCACTTCCCGTGAGAGAGGCCCGGAGGGCTTCCCGGAGGGGGTGGAGGTGAGGTTTTGAGGAAGCGGTTCTGGAATGTTAATAATAGAAGCAGGCAAGTTCAGGGGCCGTAGTGTTACAGTGAGGTTGGAGTGAACGGATAGGTACCTCGGAGGAAGCTTCGCTTTTAGCCACAGTTTGAGAATCATGTTATAAAATCTGACTCTTCAAGGTCTTCCTTAGCTGTCGAAGGAATCTGGAAGCTACCTGATCGATCATGGGATAAGCTGAAAGTCATCTTACTGTGGAAACTGGCTGATCGAGGTAGTTTTCAAAGCCAATGAAACTGGAGCAAAGCACAAGAAATGAAGTTGGGAAACAGGGTGAAAGGGGTGCCAGGTGATGAGAAAACAGACAGCCGTGGGTGGAGACCCCGGGAGGGAACCTGTGGCCAACACCAGCAATGACTCTCCTTGGCGAACAATCGGCCGGTCAGCGACTGGGCTCCGTCGGCCCGCCCGTGGGCTCCGTCAGCTCATGCCTAAGGGCTGTGCCTCCTGCGCCAACCTCTGCTGAAAACAGTATTAGCTCTGACTGAGAATCTAATGACAAAACCGCTTTGAAATGCTATGTCACAGCCTTTTGGGACATCTGCAGACTCTCCAAAGAACCGAATCTGTTTCTTGTTTCCTATACAGTGTTAGGAAAACTTGTTTTTCAGTGTTTCTGCTGCAGGATGAACTTGTAAAGAATAAAGCCTCAGAGGTGCTCTTTCCTTCGCTTTTAGCCCAAGTCGTCTCTGCATATTCTTCCTCACCCTCTGATGTCACCCCAAGGATGAGCGGTGGGAGGAAGGAAGGGGTGAAGACACTGTCAGGGTGGGAAGGCTGCTGTTTCTCCCACTCTCGCAGAGTGTCCTTTTAAATCGGCGCTGGCCTGGAGGAGGTTCTCGCTGTTTGAACCGCAGGCTTTACATGACCTTAGAAAAGCTCTCAGCCACAAGTTGGATGCGTTGGCAGCGTTACAAACCTAGCACCGCGGCAGGGAGTGCTTCGCTTCCCTGCTCATTCCTGGCCGGGGAGGGAGGAATGCTGGGCATCGGGAGGCGAGGAGAAGGCTGCCCAGCGCCTCGCACACTGCCTGGCCCCTGGGCCTCCCCCTGGATCCCAGGTAAGCACCGCGGGGCCGGAGCAAGGCCAGCCCAGCTCCTGAGAGAGGCCGGGAAGCGGGGTGCAGTGGGGTCCGGGGAGGTCACCTCACCTTCCAGAGCTCCAGGCCTGTCTCAGCCCATAGGGTTCTCATTCAACCCAATAAATGGCTGAAAATGTGCTCTTATGTTTTCTTATTATGCATATCTCTGTATATCACTTTGCAACATGCTTTTCTATAGACTATTACAAACATGAAAACAGCAACAGAATGTTTGTTTTTTACAAATCTGTGGCTAGTTGTTAATCTGTTATTCTTTCATATTCATAAATTATAAAATCTTATAGCACTCTACTGCTGGGAAATGAAACATTATATAAAGTTTAGTTTTCAATATTAATGTTTTAAAATACTACAAATGGATAAAATGTAAGACAACATTAGGCAGTGAACTGCAAAACTGTAGGGAAAACACTTTCCTACAATATGGCATTAGTCTCTAAATGTAAAGATCAATGTCACAAATTTGGGTTCTTAAACATTTTTTTTTATATCACAAATTGTGTTTCCTCTTAGATGTCAGAAACTGAGCTGGAAAACATAAAAGTAAGAGCAGCTGAGCATTTTGAAAAGGACAAAAATAATATTTCTTGGTTGAAGGAAGGTAAGTCCTCTTGCTGTGGATTTTCTCTGAATGTGAAAATTGTGACTTTGTTTATAAGCAAGAGCTAATGTGGGAGATGGAATGCCGGGCAAATCAAATAATATTCGTGCCTCTGATTTTTTTTAAGTTTTCTCTCTCGGGCTGGGTGGCATGTGAAGGTGTTTGGCATTGAGAAGTGTTTGTTTCCCTCTGTCGCAGTAAGCACATGGTTTTGCTGGGAGAGAATGTACGTTTTCAACTCGGACAGATTATCTGTGAGGTTCTGGTTGTGCTGTAGGACTTTCTCCTTTAGCCAAGGAGACTAAATCATTTGAGGACAAGAATTTTCTAAATAATAATCACAGCAAGGAAGGCGTGCTGTAGGAAGTGATGTCTACAAATAGAATCGCCATTCACTGCAATTAAAGGGGCCACCTCCCCCGGGAGAGCGGCTGGCCACAGGCACCGTGTGCATAAGGCGCTGCTGGAAATACACACACAAATCGATATGTTCTCCTAGGACGAGAGCAACTTTGTGCGCTTTTGAAAATATGTATAAGCTCATGATTATTTACTAGAAGGTTTCATTTTATAATCTTTTCATTTTATGAATATCCTAATGTTTCTTAAAGTAAAGTGACTTGGTATTTTATTGAAATAGGTGTATCTTTTACATTATTTCATAAATTTATTCAATCGTACAGAAACAGCTCCTTATTAGTTGCCATTCCTCAAAATTGCATTCTAAGGTCATGGGAGACTTTAACATATACGTCAAGGAAGTTCTACAACACCAGATCAATACTAGCAATAACATCGACCCATTGCCAATGTGTGCTGATAGTATGCTGAGTCATCACAACAACCTGTGCAACAGTAATTATTCCTAATTTTCAGAGGAGAAAACAGAATCACAAAGGGCTGAAGTAACGGGCTAAGAGGACAAGATTAGGAAGCGTGACAGAGCTGAATTCGATCCCAGAGTGTGTGACTCCAGGGCATCTGAATTAACCACGACCTTATACAATGTTTCAAAGGAAAGATGTTAAATTACTTGCAGGGCGTGACCTACCCCATGCCCCACTAATCACAGTTCATAGCTGGAGCTCCTCTCTGCTAGAGCTCTGCTTCAGGATAAAAGTTGGTGCAGACATGAACTATTCTCAGAATCACTTCCTTCAAAAAGCCACAGGCAAGAAAATTCTCTAACTTCTCTTTATTAAGAGATGTTTAAATAGAACATTTAAAAAAAACTGTGAAATTAAAAATTGAATTTGGATCAAAGATTTCCCTTTGCATTTCCTGTGAATTCCAAATCCATGAAGACAAAGGTGTTCTTCACTACTACTGATAGTGATGTTTACATTATTGACTTTTGCTATAATTATGCCATTCTACAGTCTCATATAGAAACAATGATGAAACTGATAGACCAGTCCATTGTTTACTGAAGTATTTTCTTTTTAAAGAAAGTGTGTCCATTAAGTACAGTTTTGTAATCCATTAAGTTCTTGTAATCCATAAAAGCCAATTTCCCAGGTGACCTGCTTTATCCCTTTGGACACTTCATTTAAGCTATGTTCAAATTATGTTTAACATATTTCATAAAAAGAAATTGAACCAGATTCTAGATGTCTTTTAAGTAAATGGACTTGATATTTTATTGAAATAGGTGTATCTTTTACATTATTTCATAAATTTATTCAATCGTACAGAAACAGCTCCTTATTAGTTGCCATTCCTCAAAATTGCATTCTAAGGTCATGGGAGACTTTAACATATACGTCAAGGAAGTTCTACAACACCAGATCAATACTAGCAATAACATCGACCCATTGCCAACGTGTGCTGATATTATGCTGAGTCAGCACAACAACCTGTGCAACGGGAACATCTTAATAGGGAACTTCTTAATAGGGGAATCATCAGAATGAGCTAGTATTCAAACATAAATCTCTTTTTTTAATATTAAGAAAAAGTATACGCGTTGGCTTATTTATTTATTTTTAAAGGCAAACTGGCACATTGGAAAGAGTCGAGCATTTGCAGCTGGGCAGGTGTGGTTTTTAAATCCCGGCTCAGCTGCTTGCTGGCTGGGCTGTGACTCTGGCGTGTTGCTGAGCCTCCGGAAGCTCAGAGTCCTCAGCGAGGCATGGTGACACCTGCTTTGAGTGACTGTGGAGATGAGATTTCATTATTTCTGTGTGCCTGCCCCCCTCCCTTTGAAGCATGATTCAAAATAATATAGTTATATTTTTTGAGATCCTCATTCACATTTGGAACAATTATGAATAGTAAGAGTCCTCTATATTTTATAGTATTTTATATAAATTGCATCATTTAGTCTCTACAACAACTTGATATGCAGTAACATTGTTCCCATTTTATAGTTTCAGAAAGACTTTGGATCTTCCTCAAATTTGCAGAGCTGTTAAGTGGCAAACTGAATCTGGAACTCAGGTCTTCCAGCTCCAAATTATGCTCTTGGCCTTAAACCACTTTACCACATTGATTTTTCCAATGATTATTAATCAGCTCCTCCCCCCACCCTTAAAAGTAAAATAGATGGTTTAAATTTGTTCAAAATTTTTTCATGAATGACAAAAGTAGTTGCTGCTCATATCACAATGCCTCTTTCCTCCCTCTGCAACTCTAGCTGAACACTCCCCATTGGTGAAATGTAGAGAATCATAGCAACACCTCACTGATTAGAGTTGAAGTAAAAGCACCTACTGGATGGACCCAGTGCGGACCTCAGGGTGTGCATCCGACCAATGAGTCATCACCATCATTGCCAACCTGGATGCTAATGTCCTTTCTAATTTCCATCTTCACACATTCACTCCATTTGTCCAATGCGACTCAGCATTATGAACCATGTGTTCCTGGAGATGAGGCACGAGAGGGGCAGGAAAACAATAGAAAGAAACACAGTCCTGCACTCGAGAAGTTTCCTATCTCACTGGCTTGCTTTTGCCTGAAAGGCAAGGCGCTGATTGCCTTCCACTCTGCGTCCACTGGACCATGGGGGCGATGGGCTCAGCAAGGGCGCCAGAGAGCTGGTTACAGCCACACCCAGAGCTATTATCAACAATTAAGGTGAATAGTGTTTGGGAAACACACTGCAGACCTGAAATGCACTCCTGTCAACGTAACTGAATCCTGTTTTATAGCCTATCAAGGCATCAGGCAGTCCTCTATCACTATTAGTCATGCTGTCTTTAAATTCTGGATGATCAGACTGTAGCTTTATCACATTCCTATGTCCCAACTTAAGGAACTCAAGAGCCCAGGAATAAATGCTTAAGAGGCAAGACAGGTAATTCTGAGGTAAGATATCCAAGGATCATACTCAGAGAAAACCTGTTTTAAGACAATCAGAACAACAAAATATGATTTTGAAATATGTAGCCAGCACGATGAGCTATCTTGTGCAATTGTGGACCAAGTGGTCTAAAGGCCAGTCTTGAAGGCGGTCCCCATCTATTTGCACAGGTGGCGCGAGGAATGCTGGGAGCAGAGTCATCAGAGGGCAGATGCCTGCTTTGTGCTATGGTCAGGGCACACTGGCTAGCTCTTCCTGTAGTTAACACAGAATGAGAGGGACAACGGACAGGGACAGCAAGGGCGGGGCCCGGGGCTGAAGCATGCTGAGGGCACATGAGTTCATAACTAGTCTGCAGAGTGGCAGGGGCAGGCAGAGGAAAGGCTAGGCAGCAGGCCTGGTGATGGCTACGACAGAAACAAATTCAGTAACCCCAAGTGAGAAAATATGTCCTGGATAAAAGTCATAACAAGGAGAGGAGAAAAATAGGCCCAAATGTGCAAAACTTTATGAAGGGAAAATTGATATAACAGAGAAATTAGGGGGAAATTACAGGTGGAATAAGATGGCATGTAATGCCCCATTAAGCCAGGGAGCATTCTGGGTAAGCATTTCAGTGCCTACCACCTCCACCATTTGATACGGAAGAGAAGCATCAGGGAGGATGAAGCCTTTAAATTGTTGCCATTTGTAGTTTAAAATCACAGCGTCGCCAGTGCTTGAACTGCACACAATTTCTTACAGTGTCTCCTGACTTTTCAGGAGAAACTGGAAATCTGAAATTCCATGTGAAACCTCCTAATTTCTAAAGGTTAAGTAAATAATAACAACAATAATAAAGCACATTGCGGAACATATTAAGTCAAGTTCTGTGATGCTTTCAGCCTCTCAGCTACCAATTTGTAAGAGTTTGTATCCCTAAACAAAACCCATTACAATTTCCCCAAAACCAGTTTTCCATAAAAATTGCTCATATGTGCACACACACATGTACATGCACACAAATACACACGTATTTATATGTATGTGCAAAGTCAATTGTTTACAAAATCTGATGTTATGACTGCTGAAATGAAGCTCTTTTCCTGTAATTATCTGGACTTGTTTCAATGAGGCATTCTCTTCTGGATGCAGTCAGCGGAGGGAAGAACAAAATAACCCAGGTTACCAGTGTGCCCCAATGTTTGTCATCGTCTCATCAGGTGCTGACTTTCCAGTAACTGCTGAAGCCGGAGGGCCTTAGTGGGAAAATTCATAGTTCTGGGAGAGGTGTGATTTTAAAAAGAGGAGTTGAGGGCAGTGAACAAGTTGCCCTCTGACCTTCCAAGAAGCGCCAGGAAGAAAAACACTTGGATGTTGAAAACTGTGTCGTCATTTTGAACTAAGTACAAGTAGTCATATGGTGACTAGAGTCTTTGGTGATTTCAAGATCATTATTTAAATACATTTTTGAGGAAACTCACTGAATTTATTTAGTATTAACATAGAGAAGTTGGGTCACCAATGACTTGGCATCTTGAATACATTGGTTATCATTTAATCAGAATTAATACATATTAGGAATTGATATAACAAGATACTGGAAAACAGCCTAGAGGTCCCCAAAGCCATGTCCTAAAAATTCTCTTCTTAATAAAATGCAAAATTTCAAATCCATATTACAAGAATCTCATCTCATTCCTGATCATTGTTTGCC